TTGCTTCTAAAACAGTCTTTGGTGTTGTTACTGTATATTTTTGCTTTAATGGGGGGGATCTGCTTTATATTTTAATTTTGCTCAGAATTTTTATTCTTTTGAGGAGACTTCCTTTCTTCATTTAAGTGTGTTCTTGTTTGCTTGTTGAAGTAATTTTATAATAACTGGTTTAAAATGTGCATCAGACGGTTCTAACATCTTTGTCATCTTGATGTTGATGTCTGTTGAGTGCCTTTTTAATTCAGTTTAACATATCCCTGCTTCTTTGGATAACAGAAGATTTTTGTTCTTATTCCAACATAGACATTTGTTCTATCATGTTAGTGGAGTCTAGTTCTTATTTAAGGCTTCTATTTTTGCTGTGTTTTTTTTTTTTTTTTTTTTTTTTTTTGTAACACTTGTCTGCTGAGGGAAGTAGGACCCTCCCCTTTTACTGCTATGTTCCTTTCTCAAAGGGAAGAAACTCTTGTTAGGTGCTTGTTGGAGCTAGAGCATGACGTTGGAGATTCTAGACGTACACTAGACCTTCACTGATCCCCACCTGCAGCAGTGGTTGAATGGTGTTAGTACTACTCCTTCCATGATACCTGAGGATGCTACAAGAACAAGGGAACTGATTGTCCCATGCGATAGTGAAAAGCCTGACTCCTCAGTAGACATTCTACAACACTCAAATGAAGAAGGAGGAGCAGTTGGCTTTACTGTTAAAATAGAAGACCAGGTTTCTTTTGAGGAAATAAGCTTCATTATTTTCTGGAAAGGATGCAAGCCTTGGCTCTCTCTGGCTTTCCCTGGAACTATTGTGCTTGGGGTGGAAAAATCTCATTGACATGGTAGCATGACTTTCTGATGAAGGTAGGAATGGGAACATGTTTTTTCCTGATTATTTAGCTGGGGTAGGATAGTTGAAATTTAAATACTTTCTTAGTAGATGATTACATAAGCCTTTCATAGTTTTTTGGCTCCAGGAGGCTTGATTATGTTGACGTTTGTTTTGTCTGTGCCAGCTGATGTTTCCTGGATATCATCTTCTTACCCACAAGTCTGAAATACAAAGTATAGAGGAACTGTGTTGTGTCTTGGGCACAGTGGTTCACACAGATTGTTTTTTCTTTGCACCATTAAAGATCTTCTAATTTTTGTTTTTTAAGTAAAGTCCGTGGTTTTTACCCATACTCTATGGGAAGAGGAAAGAAATGTCCATGTATTCGATCTTTCTAGAAGCCAAACTTTCCATGATATCCTGACTTTTAAAGAGAAGCTAGAGATCTAGATTTTAATATAAATTCTCTTGTCTTCTTTAATATTGACATTTTAAAAATAATAGACAATGCAAATGAAATGCAAAATGTTTATTTGCCAATAGTCTATAAATACTGCCTAGATCCTTAAGAAATTATGTTTCTTAAATAAGATTTTATTTTACGTCATTACATATAAATTTTCTTCACTTATTCAGTGATGATATTACTGACAAACTCAACTTACAAATGCTGAATCAAGAAAGAGAGGTTTTGAGGCAAAAACAACTGAATGACTAAAGCGAATACCAAGACTCCCAAACCCTAAGGTTCCTGTACTTTGCTAACAGTTGATAAACATTTAGGCTCCGACTGTGGACATGAAAAGCATGTACAAATACATGCACGCACTGCCCCCCCACACACAAAAGTCAACCCCTTTGACCCAAGCACAATGCAAATTAGATAAAATAGATAACATTTTAAGAGTCAGAAACAATGATATTAGAAAGTAAAAACTTAGCAGTAAATCAAATTATAAATTTGACTCATAGCATTTAAAGTTTAAAACCAGCTGTGATTCTTCAGTGTGGCTGACACAGCCTTGTTTTCTCCCACACGGGCTGAAGGTGTTCTTTCAATAGTGTCCAGTTTAAGTACTGGCATGTATGTCCTATGGATTATCATCATCTTCCTGCTCTGTCTCATGTAAGACTATGACAACTCAACCAAGTTGTGTGTGTGTATATATATATATATATGAAGAGTAAAATACTTGTTATTAAGCTGTATATGATGTCCTAGGCACCATACTGAGAAATTCACTATAATACTGCTTTAATTCTTATGACCAATTAATTGTTTTGACCATTGGAGAAAGCAAGTTAGAAAGTTCAGAAAGGATTTTTTGAAAAGGTCGTGATCAGATACTGCCATCTCAATGTGCCAAGGACAAGAGGCTACAGAGCTCAACCCTGAATAGGAAACCCATTTCAAACCTCTACTTCCCAAGGCTCAGATCATTGTAGAAGAGAAGACAAAAAGATTGTAAGAGCCAGAGGAGGTGATGACAACAAAGAAACAATCTTCCAGACAGCTTGTCAGTTACTCCTATGAAGTCACAGCAGTGGTGACAGCATGCACAAGTCTGAATGAAGCTCAAACCAGACAAAATCCCGGCATAAACATGGGGAAGTGGGTAAGAAATCCCAACCAACCTATGGAATTTTTGGCAATTGATGGCTGCTAGGAGGGGGAGAGATACTGTTGTACAGGATGGGACTCTTGGTGGGTTCAGTGGATGGACCTACACTGAAGGACATTTGGAGACACAAATCTTACTTTATAAACTGTGTTGTATATATAAAAGAGTACATTAAATTGGGAGGAGGGAAGTAAGGGGCGGTGTGGATAGAAGGGATCAAAATACAATCAAACTATATTGCATAAAAATCGTAAAAACTCAAAAAAAATTTTATAAAAAAAAGAACACCTTCAAGGCGGCCTGCTCAACAGCTGTACAGTGGTAAAACCCATACAATTGCATCCCCACTAGCCAGGCACTAGTCTTGTAGTGTACAAGTAGCTCGGGGTACAGAACCTGTGTCCCAAAAGAGGCCATGAGACCTTAACTAGCTTTCTGTTTGTGAGCAACCATGGTGGCAGCATGGTACTTGGAGTTCATAAAATGTGTGCATGCTTTGTAATTGTCAATTGCCAAACAGAATTTTCTAAGATTCAGATAATATTTGATAAAGTGTATACACTGTGTGGTTTAGGCGGAACCTCGAGATAATAGGTGTCAGTGTGAAAAGAGAAGGGAAGAATGACTTCACACCTCTGGGACCTCGGGTCAAGGGTGTCTACATTAACTCGTACATTACTTAGCCCTTTTGTATATAGACGTAACTTCTTACGGTGTCTAAATAGCCAATAAATAGCAGAGGGATTGAGAACTACAGATCTGTGCCTCAAGTATTTTCTGACATATTGAGGAGGCAATGAACAACAGTAGCTTGGAGAAAAAAATCATCCTGGCTCTCAATTGTATTTTCCTGTTTAATTAAAATTTGTATTTGTCCATTCTGTCCAGGCCTTGGCCCTGTGGTCCATGCTATTTTGCATGGCAAATGAAATCAATAAGAACCTATCTTTTGGAACCTGGAGTTGCTTGAACATTTTTGTCATTATTTGCTAGGCAGAAGAGTAATGTTTTCTCGGAGATATTTGGCATACATTGCCAGGCCAAGGGCCAGTTCATATGTTAGAGAAGTTCCTTCCCATCAGCTTCCCTATTATATCCACAGTTCTTCCTTGTTTATCCTTTTGTGCAGTGGACATCCTGGCAATGAAGGGGACAGTGTAAGCTTAGGTTAGTGATGAGATGGTCTTGTGGCTTACACCTGTCAGCAAAGTCCCTTGTTGGTTGGTCGCTAGAAAGAAGTGGCCAGGTATTTCTAGACACCGATTTCCAAAGGAGAAAACAGTGACTAGGAGTTTGCTGAAGTCTCATAGAGAAATCAGAGGAGGACTGGGGAAATAGCTCAGTGGGCAAAACACTTGCCATATAAGCGTGGGACCTGAGCTTGGATCGCCAGAACTCCCATAAAGCTGGGCACCATAGCATGTATGCATGAGAACCCTAGAAGCTTGTTGGGGCTATTCAGCAGAAATGACCAACCTCCAAGGTTGTCCTCAGACCTCTACATGTGCACACATGTGTACCTGCACTCACAAATCCAGATGTGTACATGCACACAACACATACATCATATACACTTAACACACACACACACATACACACACACACACACAGAAATCAGAGGAAGACAATGTGCACATGTCGTCAACACCCTGTTATCATTCTTTGACCCACTGAGGCAATGTAATGCTGGTTGAATAACTTGGTGTCACTGTAAAATATCAATAGCACATATTTATTTTTGCCTCATGTCAAATGTGCTTTTATGCTTTAATTTTTCCCTCCTTCCTTCTTCCTGCCTTCCTTTTTCCTTCCCTTCTTCCTTCCCTTCTTTCTGCCTTCCTTCCTTCCTACCTTCCTTCCCTCCCTCCCTCTTCCCTTCCTTCCTTCCTACCTTCTTTCCTCCCTCCCTCTTCCCTTCCTTCCTTCCTTCCTTCCTCTCCCTCCCTCTTCCCTTCCTTCCTTCCTACCTTCCTTCCCTCCCTCCCTCTTCCCTTCCTTCCTTCCTATCTTCTTTCCTCCCTCCCTCTTCCCTTCCTTCCTTCCTTCCTTCCTTCCTCTCCCTCCCTCTTCCCTTCCTTCCTTCCTTCTCTCTCTTCCTTCCTTCCTTCCTTCCTTCCTTCCTTTTTGGTATTTGTTTTCTCATTATTCCTTCTATACCAAAAGTAGTTAAAGTAAGGTAAACTCAGTTTGTTTTGAACTACTTCATAAGAAGTTCTTGTACTAGAATGACACAGAATTATGTCGTTTGTAAACATCCAATCAAAAGATAAGGGTTACTCAATAAAAATATTAAAAATGAGAAAGCTAAGTTTTTTGTTATGACTTACCCCCCAAATCTATTAAATAGTAAAAAATTAGTTTACTATATTTAGTTCTTCATGTAGACTGATTGTTTAAGTATATATTGAACTTTTGCCAAAGAAGTTATACAGAGCTGACCAAGTTTGCCTTTCTCATGTTTTTATGTGACTTAGACGTACGTCAGAACTAAAGGCAACATTGCTTGCAATCACCATCGTGGGATTTTTTTTCTTTCATGCTTTTAGGTGGGAAAAGTGACAAGTGCTCCAGCTTAAGCCTGACATTTCTGAAAGTCTCAGCATTCTGCTCCATTTGGAATAATGGATGTAAAGGACCGGCGACATCGCTCTTTAACCAGGGGACGGTGTGGCAAGGAGTGTCGTTACACCAGTTCCTCTCTGGACAGTGAGGACTGCCGAGTGCCTACACAGAAGTCCTACAGCTCCAGTGAGACCCTGAAGGCCTATGATCACGACAGCAGAATGCACTATGGAAACCGAGTCACAGACCTGGTGCATCGGGAGTCCGATGAGTTTCCGAGACAAGGTAAGTCACACTGTCCTGAAGACAGATTCCAACCCCAATCCTGACTTGCTCTGTTACACTGATGACCGACAGTGACAGAAACTGGCAGGAAGGCATGCTGTCAATCAATGTCCCTACTAATGCTTAGTTCAGGAAAACAATTTCCTTTATTCTACCCAACTCCTGTGGGTGATAGAGATTTAGCTTTTGTCCTGGATGGCAGGTTCCTCAACAATGTACTAGTTGTTTTTGGAGACCTGTCGTGAGATTGTTTCCAAACATGTAATTTACAGCAGATCCTTGACTTCTTAAAAAAAATACTCCTGAGATAATAGAAAATCTCCACCTAGTAACTATTACATCATTTAAGGCTTTTCAACTCTTCCCTTTGAAGTTTACTGCAAGCCTCTAAGAACTTGTTTTGATTACTTCACACATTGGCATTCTCAGTTGGATTCACTTTGAATAAATGGTATATATGGATTAAAGGATATTTGAAAACATCCCGTATAATAATTGTAAATAATTATGCCCCCCCCGACACACACAGAAACATGGATGTTTTTATTCAGCTCTCCTACTTATACCAAACCTTAATTTTATTTCTACTACTTGCTTTATTTCGGGAGAAGAAGAATTTTCTCCCAGGTAATAACAGCATTCGTTGCATGTCTGATATCTGTACAGAATGCAGTTATCACTTGTCCAGAGATATGGAAGGAGTCCAAACAGTGCTGGGGTCACGGTGTCAAGGGTCTCTTATTTTCTCCATGCCGTACACTCTGAGTCCCAACCTTGCGTGTGCCGTTCACATTAGTGACTCAGCAAAATTACAAGCGAATATCCACGCTGCAGTGGCTGCACTCAGCAGGGTCACTCTGCCAGCACCCGGGGACTTGGCCTTGTTCAGCTAGGTTATTGCATCATTTGTTTTTTAACACTGATTCTAACTTTTTCTGTGTCTTTGGCAGTAAATATTGGAATGACTTTAATTCCCAATGAGATATCTATGCATGGAATTCCATTCCTGGCTTCTTAGCTTCCTTAAATTGCTGAATTTTTAACTTTTCCTTATTTTGTAGAAAATATATCTGAATGATTTAATTAGAATACTGACCAAGATCTAGAAATGCAGTGCAGAATTTGTTCTGAAAGCCTGCTCCCATACGCTCCCAATACATCCTAGCTCCTGATATATTTAGCAGATTTTTTTTAATCAATAAAGAGCTAAAGTTATTTTTGCTGCCATTGTAGACCCTTGGAGGATATGATTTTTATTTAATCTTTACTCTTATTTTCCCTGTGTCATCCACATGAAAATGACACACATACTGATCCTTCTCCAGGAGAAAACAGAGGCTACCTGAAGATTGCTCTGGATCAAATGCCTTTCTTTGATCCATGAATAAGTTTGACACATGGTTTATTTTCATTAAGTTCCACTCAAGTCTGGGTAGCAGACAGTGGGAATTGAAAGAAAAAGAAAGTAAATGGTCATGGCTTAATTAACAAAAAGAGGGCTTACATTTCTAACATGAAGAAATGAGGATACCTGTTGTCTTAGCCAAGCGTGTCAATGAGATGAGATCAGCTGTTTTAAAAGGTGGCACACAGGCAGTATGATTGACAGCTTTGCATTTTCTGCCATTGTTTCTGTATCATTTGTGGGGCTGCACCGACCTCTTACTTTGCTATAATTCTGGGCTACAGTGTACACTCTTCCTCCTAACCCGTCAGAGGCATACCTTCCTTCTGGATCATTCACTGAGTTGGAGATTCCAGATTATTGTTGAATTGTAGATTGACTTGTCACCTTTTCCCTTATTAATATTTACATCAAATGAAATCAAGTGCTGGGATTTTACTTTCAAGTAGACCTTTATTCTTCCTGTTTAATCATGTGCCCCTCCATGGGTAATGATGGAAGCAGCTTGGCCACATCAAACTCGTAGCATTGCGATTAACAATTCACACACGCCGTGTGTTGTTACTGCATCCATATTTGTTTGTGTAATGTGTTTGCATGAATTAAAAACCATGCAGTCCAAAAAGTAGAAATGAAAAGCCTTGGAAAGTATTTGCATATGCAAGTGCAATTCCTTCTGAAGGCATCTATGAATTTATGCATGAAAATGTAGTCAGAGGCTGAGTGGATCTACTTTGATGGGTTCTAAAATTGAACTCTGCAGGAAGTAAATAAGCACATATTTAAGAACGGGGAGAAACAGGAGATACAATCTGAAAGCGGCACATGCAGATTGAGCCTGAACCGCTACAGAGAGGGTTAAAATAAAATTTACACTCCGCAATAACAATCATTTTTTTAAATGTCACGCATTTCCCAGTTTTTCTTATTCATGAAATCAAAGAGCAGGATCATCTCAGTACTTATTAGCCTAGAGGTACATTAGCAAGGATCATATCAGGATCCTCTCCTGCAGTATTCTTATTTAAAACCCAAGACACTGATCATAAAACAAACACGCTTCTCACATACAAGCAAGTTTGGCAAACATACTAGGATGGCTCTCCAGATGCTCCGAGTGGGAAAAGAATTGCCAGGCACTGATAGTGATGCGCAGACCAGAATGCTACCTTGTCCAGCCCTCTTCCCCCTCCCCTGGGGCTTGCTGATGTATGGAACAAGAGAACCTGCCATATTCCAGCTGGAGAAATGGCACAGGTGTCCCCACGAGAAGCTTTGGAAGCACCCATTGAATTGTTCCTAAGCTGTCTTCAACATAGACTCCTCCTCTGCTATCTTCTAATGTGGCCTCTTCTCTGAAATAGAGATATACAAATTACCTGTCTGGTCTCTGCTACACTGCATCCTCGTGGTGTAATAGGAGAGAATTGCTGACCTTAGGTCTATGGCCACTGCAGTAATTAGTAATTAGTAAATAACTAATCCTTCACTTAATTGATTCCTAGTGGTCTTAGAGTTAGTGCACCTTACAAAAGTAAGCAGCGGTCTGATACTTGGTCATACAGAATTGCAATGCCACTCAAGAGAGAGATCCTGCTTTGAATAGTGGAAGTCGGCCAAGTTCCCAAGCAGGTTGCATGAGCTTGTTCATTTGGACTGTGAAGTTAGGGTGCAGAGCAGTGTGATATACAGCCATTCTGCTGTGGCTTAGAAGACTAACGTTAGACATGAATTCTGCTTCTGCATATTTATGTAACTCTGACTCTTGTCTGCATTCTGTGCTCCACAAGGATGAGTGCATTGATTCAGTTATGTTAAACAACGACACTAACAAGAGAATACTAACAGGTGTGGAGTATTTTCTTTGTGTTAAGTGCCAATCCAAGCATTTTGCTTATATAAACTCAGTGCTTACGACAATGTTGTGAGGTGGCTACATTTATTATCCCCCTTTTTACAGATTAAAAAACTGAGTCATGGAACAATTTTACCATCCAAGCCAGTCACATAGGAAGAGGTGGGGACATGTTTTGCACATAGGAAGATGCTTTCAGAGCTAAGTTTTATACAGATGTGTTTGATCACCTCCGAAATAAATAAGCAAGGAAACACAAAAACAAATCATTTAACTCCCAGTTAAAAGCTGGTGGGGGTGGGTAGGGAGCAGTTGTGGTCTTCAATTCTCAAGCTTTTATGGATCAGTGCTTTTAAGTCTTAATAATATAGGAACAGGGCTGGAGGGCTGGATAGATGGATAGCAGTTAAGAGTACTTGCTGCTCTTGCAGAGGACCTGGGTTCAGTTCCCTGCACCCACATGGTGACTAACAACTGTCCATAACTCCAGTTCCAAGGGAATCCAATACAGTCTTTTGGTCTCTACTGACATTGCAGACACATGGTACATTTACATACATGAAGGTAAAACACTTATACAAATAAAATAAGAATAAACAAAATAAAAGTTTTCAAATATATAGGAACAGAATGAGTCAGAACTATCCATCCCAGGCCTGCTGATTTCTCTTCCTAATACGCATTCCTTTTCATTTGCAAAACTGTTCTAGACTCCCCAGCATTGTTTCTTCCTACAGTACCTTTTACATTAACCAAGTGCTAGGAAATGTTTCTCAGGTGGGATGTGTGGGGAGCTGTGCACAATGGTTCTCTGACGTTCCTTGTAACCATCACCTTTCACCCAACCTCTTGAAGTGAGATGGTAACCAAGAAAGACATAGCTCTCTGATCTGAGTGATATTGGTTACCTAAGCAGTACTGGCTCGTTTCTGTGTCAGCCTGGGCCCAGTGGACCAGAAAGTTCACCCAGGCTTCTACTCCTCAAAAAGCCCTACTTTCTAGCTCAGGTCCCTTGAAAGAGAGCCAAGATTGAATTCTTCTGTATATTTCAGACTGTCTGCTCGGATCAAAGTTAAAGAGTTAGGGAAGGGTGGGTTTTTAGAAGTCTGCTTTCATTAGTTCACTTAGCTCTAGAAAAGAAATAAACGTGACTAACTCTTTAATGTACTTTAAAAATATGCAAACACACGTATATGTTTTAAGTTTATCTGGACACTATCTCAGAGGAGTATTATAAAGGTCCTATTTTCAAAGCTGCAGCACTTTAACTTAGCTGCACCAAACAAGGTTCAGATTTTAGTGAAATTGAAGAGTTTGGTTAATATTTGTAAGACTAAAATGTACTTTGAAAAGTTTGCTTTCAATTTATCCTGTGATTTCTAGGAAGTGTTTCCTTTCATAATTCATCTGAGAATTGCTTAGTGCCTCTTCGTTTTGGGTTGCCTTGCTAATTTAGAAAGCCTGAAGAAAAGGAGAATCTATGAGCTTTCAGTGTTCCATGATCTATAACCTCCTTGCTGACAAACTCAAACCCTTTTCCTTCATGGAAGAGGCATATGGTAGAAGTGTGAATGTATACATTTTATTTCATTCCAGTGTTGTATGTTGTACCAACATGGTGTGGATCAAACTGCAGATAGAATCTCTCATTTTCTCCATTTGCGAAAGTTTCTACTGACTCTTAGTGTTGGACTTGCTTCTTTCAATTATGCATTTGTCATGCTGTGAATGTGCCTTTCA